CGCAGCTGCTGGAGAGAGGCAGCACCGAGCCGCAAAAGCTTGGCCGCCGAACGGGCGGCTTCGTCGGCTCGATGGCTCCCGGAGCGCTGCCGTACGGACGAACGGCCTCGATCAACATCGATTTGGGCCGCACGGCTCTTGATTTTGAACAGTTCGGAAACTCCTCCCCCCTCCAGAGGTGCCTCTTCTTCCCCACGCTCTTCCTCATCCTCCTTCTCCTCCTGCTGCTCCTCCTCCTCCTCCTCCTCCTCATGATCCTCATGGTCCTGCTCATTCTTCTCCCCCTCATCTTCCTCGTCCTCCTCCCTCCACATCATGCTCATGCTCCTCCTCCTCCTGTTCCTCCTCGTCGTCCGCCTTCTCATCATCCTCAACATCGTAATCATCATCAGCGTCATCATAAACAACATCGTCATCATCACCACCATCATCATGAACAGCAGAACATCACCAGCATCATCAGCATCATCATCATCATCATCATCATCATCATCATCAGCATTATCATCATCATCATTATCATCCTCATCAGCAGCAGCAACATCATCAGCAGCAGCATCACCGTCATCAACATCATTATCATCAGCAGCATTATCGTCGTCATCAGCATCACCATCATCTGATCATCAACATCATCAGCATCAGCAGCAGCAACAGCATAATCAACATCATAAGCATAACCAGTATCATCATCAACATCAGCAGCATCATCAACATCAGCATAACCATCGAGGACACCATCATCGTCATCAGCACCATCTTCATCGGCATCATCAGCAGCATCATCAGCATCGTCATCATCATCAATACCATCTTCATGACCATCAGCATCATCATGATTATCAGCATCATCATCACCATCACCATCACCACCATCATCAGCATCACCATCATGATCGCCATAATCGTCAGCATCATCATCATCATCAGCAGCAGCAGCATCGCCACCATCATCATCAACATCATCAGCATCACCAAGATCATCATAACCATCGAGGGCACAATCCTCGTCATCGGCATCATCTTCATCAGCATCATCAGCAGCATCATCATCATCAGCATCAACATCATCATCTTCATGATAATCATCAGCATCATGATCATCAGCATCATCACGATCATCACCATCATTACCATCACCATCATCACCATCATAAGCATCACCACCATGATCGCCATAATAGTCAGCATCATCATCATCAGCAGCATCGTCATCATCATCAGCATCATCATCATCACCATCATCATCATCGTCATCATCGTCAGCATCGTCATGATCATCATCACCATCATCATCATCGTCATCATCACCAGCATCACCAGCATCAACATCATCATCATCAACAACATCATCATCCTCACCCTCCTTCTCCTCCTCCTCCTCATCATCATCATCATCACCATCACTATCACCCCCTCAACCTCCGCAAGAGAAGGAGGAGGAAGAAGAGGAGGAGGAGGAGAAAGAGGAAGAGGCGGAGGAGGAGGAGGAGGCGGGAGAGGAACAGAGGAGGAGCGGCAGGGAGAAGGAGCAGAAGAGGAGGAGGAAGAGGAGGAGGAGCAGCAGCAGCAGCAGCAGTGGGAGCATCAGGACGAAAGGGTGGGAAGACGAGAGAAGGAAAAATATCCAGGCGGAGGACGACGAGGATGGTGATGGGTGGGTGAAGGAAGAAAGAAAAGTCACCACCTCCCACCTCCCTTCTCCTTCCTTCGACCCTTCTCTCGGGGAGACGTAAGACTCGTGTACGGGGGACTCGGGTCGGCCTGACTGGAAATTTGACGCGAGCTCCCGCTGCAAACATCCCACGAAGGTCGGACCGTCAAAATCCAGGACGCGCTCGTCACAAAAACGCCGGCAAACCCGAGCTCCGGCTTACTCGAGTCTTACTTTTCCCCGACCTCTCTCCTCCTCAAGAATCGGCCCCTGGGCCTCTCCAGGTCCGACCAGAATGCCGAGGCAGATCTGGCGGTGACGACGAGAAGCTTCCTGGAAACCCCAAAGCGGCGAAGGACATCCACAACCCACGATCCCAAAGCCTCGAACCTCGGAGATCCCCCTCATCGATACGCGAACCTCGAACCTCCTCCTCCTCCTCCTCCTCCTCCTCCTCCTCCTCCTCCTCCTCCTCCTCCTCCATCTCTATTCCGCTTCCTTATAAATAATTTCTCCCTGTCGCATCCCGAGGACAGTTTTTAGGGCGGCCCGGGCGTTTCTCCTGAGACTTCCTCACCACTTAGGACCCTAAGCTTAAAAACTGGCAACCCTTTCACAGATGGAGGGCGGGTGGTTTTCAAAATGTGGCTCTCGCATCAGCGCCGCGCACATTCGTTTTTAACATTTACAAGAATTTCGCGGATTGAGGGCGGGTGGCTTTCAAAATGCGGCTCTCGCTTAGAGCCGCGCACATTCGTTTAAAACATCGCACGAGCTTCACGGATCGAGGGCGGTTCCTTTTCAACATGTGGCTCTCGCCTTAGCGCCGCGCACATCCGTTTGAAATAGATTTAAAACAATTGCAAGAGTTCCACGGATCCCCAGGATCAGCGTGCTAGAAATGGTGTTTAGGAAAGACTCAGGATCATTAGGTGCAACGGTTACGTTCTTATTCGCGGCGTTTAAACCCAGGAATGGCTTCTGGCACGATTCAGGACCGTCAAGACGCAACAATCAGGTTGACCCGTGGCATTGGAAGTGCGAGAGCAATGTTTTGGCATGCTTCAGGGTCTTCAAACGGTTGTCTTCCAACGAGGCAGCTCCCTCAGTGGAAATGAACCGTTGCAGGGGCCTATGAAGAGGGAGCTTGGAGGGAGGGCTTATTCCAACATCGTTGATGACTCTTGGGTTTACACTGGTCCTCCTCCTCCTCCTCCTCCTCCTCCTCCTCCTCCTCCTCCCCCTCCTCCTCCTCCCCCTCGAATATCCTCGAGACGCGTTGGCCGAAAACGCGGTGGTGCCCATCAGCGAGCGGCTGTTCCGCCAACCCAGCGGGCCCCCCGAATAATAGAGGTCCACCCATAGAGAACCCTTTCCTTCTCCACTTCCTCACCCCCCTCCCTTTTCAATTTTCCCAATGGAGAAATGCAAACATACAGATACCGCTACTCCCTGGACCTCTCCCAGGGTGCGGTCTGGTTAGGATTTCGAGGCGAATCCAACTGTGGCGACGAGGGCCTCCCAGGAGGCCGGAAAAGACGAAAACGATGCAAGGGCAGAGGTATCCGTACCTCTTCATCATCTGATCCTCCCTCCTCCCTCCTCCTCCTCCTCCCTCCTCTTCCTCCTCCTCCTCCTCCTTCCTCCTCTTCCTCCTCCTCCTCTTCCTCCTCCTCCTCCTCCTCTCCTCCTCCTCCGTCCTCCTCCTCCTCCTCCTCCTCCTCCTCCTCCTCCTCCCCCCCTTCTGAGGGGGAACGTTAGGGCGGGGGGGGGGACTGGCTCGGGGTGGAGGACATCGATCTGGAAGCGGCGATGCATCGCCGATAGAGCGGCGACAGGCGGAACCGCATGCTCCTGGGCGGGGGTGGGCCACTGCGCCCCCCCGTCCAGGGGCGAAACCGCATGCTCCTCGGCAATGACTGGGCGCCTGGGGGTCGATGCGTCCCCCCTGAGCCCACGGTCAGGAACTTGTGCTAAGCGTGTCGCGGCGGCGGCCCTGGCGACACGCCATGCCCTGCGAGCGGATCACTTTTCGCTCGGCTCCACTGGGCGGGAGGCTGGGCAAGGCTCGGGACGTTGACGCCTGGGGACCAGGACGCGGATAGCGCGTCGCGTGGTGGGCCAGCACTGGTGGAGCGACACGCTCAGCCAACGTTCCCGACCGCATCACCTCCTCAACGCTGCCCCCGAGGAGGTCCGGGCCACCGGCCGGCCGCCGCCCCCCGGCGCGCGCGAGGGGGCCTCCTCTCCCGCGTCCCCCCTCCTCCCTCCTCTCTCCTTGCCTCCATCTCCTCTCCGCCCTCCTCCCTCCTCCACCCCTGTCTCGCGTACATGCCTCTGTTCCGCCTTCCCCGTCTGCATGCTGTGCGGGGTCACTTGGAGATGAGGCGGAGGAGCACGCCCAGCGCTCGCTCTTCTGTGAATGTCCTTGCTTCTCTCTCCTCAAATTGAATCTTCCCGAATCAGAGCTCTTGCCACGAGATCCGTGAGACACTCATTCCGACGTTCAGCAGCAGCAGCAGCAGCAGCAGCAGCAGTAGCCCCCCTCGTCCTCCGAGGCGGCAAGGGGGTCGGAACTGGTTGGGACCCCAGAAACTGGGTGGAGGAGGAGGAGAAAAACGAGAGGCAAAACGAGGAGGGGAGGAAAACGAGGAGGAGGAGGAGAAGGAGGAGGAGGAGGAGGAGGAGGAGGAGGAGGAGGAGGAGTGAGGCAGAGGAAGGGGAGGAGGCGGAGGGGTCGGAGGAAGGGGAGGGGGAGGGGGAGGAGGCGGGAGGGGAGGGGGAGGGGTGGGGAGGTGGAGGAGGGGAGGAGGAGGAGGAGGAGGAGGAGAGGAGGAGGAGAGGAGGAGGAGGAGGAGGGAGGAGGAGGAGGAGGAGGAGGAGGGAGGAGGAGGATGGAACCAAATCCGCTCAAAATCCGTCCCCGGACCCCTCGCGGGCCCGCCCCTCGCACCGGAAGCGCTCTTCGCTGCGACGGGGCCCGGCCACGGCCCTAAGAGGCCGACAAGGGCAACAAAACTGCCTCCAACACCCAGTGCCGCGAACCTGCCCACCCTCGCTGCTGGCCCTCGGTCGGGCCTGTCCCTCTACAGGAGGAATCTCAGAAAAGTTTAAGATATAGTCTGGGGGCAATCTTTCGAGCAGATGTTTGGTTTGACCATTCTGGTGCCTTTTTCAACTATGTCCTACTTTTTGCCCTAAACCCCCCTGCAGGGGGACAAGCCCGACCTAATGCTGGCCAGAGCCAGTGCTGGGCCACCTCATACCCCCAGACGCCTCGGGCCCCCCCCAGCGGGCCGCCGCCCCCCCGGCCGCCGCGCGAGGGGGGCCTCCCTTGGACACGCCCTGCGCGCAGGCCAGCCACGAGACCGCTCGCGGGCGCAGCGGGGAGGGCAGCAGGCACAGGGCGCCGGAGCCTGCGGCGGGGACGGACGGACGGACGGACGGGCGCTCGCGTGCGCGCCAGGGCGCGGTCCCTCTGTGAACGGAGCGGTGGCGCCGTGGCGCCAAGATGCTGTGGTGTATGCTAAAGCACGCATTCGAGGCGCACAGAAAGAGGAGGTGCGTCCGAGGGGAGGGAGGGAGGAGGGAGAGGCATCCCTGCTGCCGGAGAGTCGGGGGCGGGGGGGGGGGAGGGAGGGGATTGGAGGGGGAGGGGGAGGGAGGAAGAGAGGGGATGGAGGGGGGGAGAGAGAGAGAGAGAGAGAGGAGGAGGAGAGAGAGGGAGGAGAGAGAGAGAGGGGAGAGAGAGAGAGGGAGGGAGAGGGCCTGGATCTCCGATCTCCGACGTGCCGCCTGCTTTTTTTTCCCCCGGGCGCCGTGCCTCGATCCTGGCCTCCAGGGGGCCCGTGCAGAGCCAATCCCCCCCCGGGGAGCGGGAGAGAAGTATAGGGGGGGAGGGGAGGAAGGGGGGGGGGGGGGGGGGGGGAGGGGAGGAGGGGGAGGGGGGGAGGGGGGGGGGGGGGAGGATCTCCGTGGGGGGGGCCGCCGAGGCTCCGCCGACGCTGCCGCCCGAAGGGCGCCTCCGTGGGAGTTCCCCCCCTGCGCCGGGCGGGTCCGCCCGGGTTTCGCCGCGCTGCCGCCCGCGGGCGCCTCGTGGGTGCACCGCGGGCCCCACGAGAGCCCGGCGGTGGCGCCAGAGCGCAGAGAAACGGCTACTCCAGATGTCGTGATAAAAGGGAGGGGGTGGCGTTGGTAGTCGCGAGAAACTAGTTCTCGGCTGAACTAGATCGGGATTCGAAAGTCACTCGGCTCGGTAAAAGCGTACTGGGAAAGACTCGGTCTTGGCCCAACCAGGTCGGCGCCTGATACCTAGATCAGAAGGCTGATAAGTCCAGGTGTTGGCTAAACAGTACTCCAGATGTCGTAATAAAAGGGAGGGGGTCTGGACCCTCCAAGACAAGCCATTTCAGACCCCCCCCCGTGGGAGAGAACCCTCCAGAACATCGTCCCCAGACCCCCCCAGGCCCTCCAGGATAGCCTGGAAGAGACCCCCCCCGAAATGAGACCCCCCTCCCTTTCTTACGAAATCTGGAGTATGTGATCATGCCGGCCGACGGCCAGGCAGATTCGACCTGTCCTCTGTGGGTCTGCGAAGCTTCTGTGCAGCGGGGAGGGCAGGCGGCAACGACGGCGAGACAGGAGGGGAAAGCGGAAGGATGGGGGACTCATGCCACGGTAGACAAATTGTGCTCCGCCTGATCGTTGTTTCCGCCTCCGCCTGATCGTTGTTTCCGCTGGTTGTGTGCGGTGTCATACCATTGACGTGCGAGGAAGAGGAGGAGGACAAGAGTAGATACAGGGTGTATCAGCGAAGCTGCACTACTACCACCATCCCGCGCCCCAGGGGGGCACCCTTGGAAGGCCAGCGCTGCATCTAGCGCCCAATCTCACTCTCCCCAGGAGCACGCAACAGGGACTCGACCCACGGACGGGGCGCAGAGACTGCAGCCACCACGGCGAGCGAGCAAACACGCGTGCACATGCGCGCCCGCCGCGCTCCCGCGCGCACGAGCCACCGCGCGGAGGCGCAGGCCAGCGGCGACTGGCCGTGCACATGTCTACGCGTGCTGCTGGCCTCTGACGATCGGGAGCGGCCAAGAGGGGGGTGTCCAAGAGGGGGGGGTGCAAATCATGACGAGCGGCACGTGCGCGGCCCAGCAAGGGGGCCTGGGACGTAATAAAATACGAAGAGGCGCCATGAAATCTGAGGAAAAATCATGGCCCGCGCCATGAAATCCACCCCCCCTAGTCATCGCCCCCCTCTTTTCCGCTCCCGAGACGAGGGGGGCGACACCGCGCACGGGGCCGGGAACGCGGCGCGGAGGCTGCGCGCCGCTGTTTCTGCGCGGCCTCCCCGAGCTCGTCTGCCAGGGGCTCCCCGGGCTCCTCGCGGGGCCGCAGGAAGAGACCAGTGCCGCGCCGCTCCGCGGACCTCTCCCGGGAGTGCGCTCTGGGCAGGATTTCGAGGAGGGTCCAACCGCGGCAACGACGCCTGCAGGACGAGCAGCGGCATCGGCATCTGGGTCCTCATCCGCCCTCACTCGTGATCTTCCTTCCCCCTCATGATCCTCATCCTCCTGCCCCCCTACCGCTACTCCGCGGACCTCTCCCCGGGTGCGTTCTGACCGGGTTTGAAGCGAATGTAGCCGTGGCGACGAGGGCCTCCCAGGGGGCCCAAGACAGCAAGAACGAGACAAGGGCAGCGGTATCGGTATTTGTTCCTCCTCTGATCCTCCCTCCTCCTCCTCCTCCTCCTCCTCCTCCTCCTCCTCCTCCTCCTCCTCCTCCTCCTCCTCTTGTGAGGGGGGTAGGGGGGGGCTGGCTCAGGGAGGACTGGGGGAACACCGACCCGGGATCGGCGACACATCACTGTTTGATCGGCGATGGGCCCCCGAGAGCAAAAGCGCACTCGCCTGGGCGGGGGTGGGCCACCGGCCCCTAGCGGCAAGGACTGGGGGTGGCTGCGTCCCTCCCCCCGAGCTTATCCCCCCCGACGCTGCCCCAGATGAGGCCCCCCCCCTCCTCCTCCTCCTCCTCCTCCTCCTCCTCCTCCTCCTCCTCCTCCTCCTCCTCCTCCTCCTCCTCCTAGATCGGCGATAGGCGCAGCGGTAGCGGTGTCTATTCCTCATCTGGCCTCGTGGCCGCGCCCGCGCCGCGGCGGCGGCGGAGGCGCGCACGCGTTGCAGTAGGAGGACCGCGTGCTGTCCTGAAGGAAGAGGGAAGAGTACAGGGCTCGACCCCACAACCGAGCTTTGAGCGTCAACACGAAGCGAACGCGGTTCGCGAGAGCGCCCAGACACCGTCTAGGTCAAGCCCTGAAAAAAGGCGTAAGCATGAACTGTCGGAGGCCCGCGCGGATTTCACTCAGCGTCTTGGGGAGATGGCTGCTGACGGAAACGGGTCATGGAGCCCTGACTCTGACAGTCTTGGCGTCCGTGGATCTCCCCGGCGAGCCAAAAGCGGCGAGGAGACTCGGGACCCGCCGTTCCTCACAGGACCACTACTCCTTCACGGCGCAAGTCCGCGCGGACCTTCGTCGGGGACCTGCTGACCCGGGTCAATCCAGACCCGGGTCAGTCAGGCCTTGCAGAATCCTGCAAAATCATACAAGATCCTGCACCCAACCGGGGTCAATGCGAAGGATCCTGCAAGATCCTGCAGGATCCTGTGCCCAAACCCGGGTAGTGCGACCCTGGCCCTGCAGGATCCTGCAAGATCGGGCGCTCTGGCTGACCCCCGTTTGCATTGACCCCCGTCTCAAGGCTCCCGACTTCGAACACTCGTGTTTACACGTCGTTCATTTCTAATCGTGCTCGTGTCTCATTGGGCTCGTTTCTAATTGTTCCTGGCCCCCTGGTGGCCAGGAAGAGGCCCAGGAGAGAACAAGTAGAAATGAAAGGATCTTGGCTCCCCAGGAAGTCGAGGAATTGTCGAAGAATTAGACATGAACAGCGCTTTCGCTAAGTCGGGCGTGTCCCCCTACAGGCGGGTATCCGACGACAAATGAAACATACTCAAATCATCTCCCAAAATGGTCAAAACATACTCCAAAAATAGTCCCCAGACAATTTTGTTGACTATTTTTGAACATTCCCCCTGTAGAGGGACAGGCCCGACTTAAGCTCACGCCGGTGCTTCTCTCGGGCCGGGCGAAAGGGGGGGATAGCAAAAGGGGGGTTTGAGAATCAGCTTGCGTAGCTGATTTTCCCGGCGCCTCCCGGGGCGGGGAGGCGCTCATGTATCGAGGAATGGGCCCGCCGGCGGGGCCGAAACCAGCTGCATGCGCAGACTTCGTAACCCCCCCTTTCCCAATCCCCCCCTTTCGTCCAGCCCGAGAGACGGCCCCTGCCTTCTAAACGCCCCCCGCCTTCTTATGGGAGGCCGTCCTCATCGCGCCACCCTGGTGGGCGCCGCCAAAACAAACAAAAAAAAAGCCATGTCTGCGTGGCATGAGGCAAGCAGCTGAGGCAAATGGGTCCTGAACCCCGGGGCCTTCCCGGCAGGATCAGCACTTCGTTCCCAAGGGGCGTTTTCTGACGTTCCCACAGGGCCCTGCGGGACAGGCAGACAGGCCGGAGTCGAGGCAGGGAGGCAGGGGAGGAAGAAGGGAGGGGAGGGGAGGACGGAGGGAAGGGGGGGGGAGGGGGAGGAGGGAGGGAGGAGGAGGAGAGGAGGAGAGGGAGGAAGGAGGAGGAGGAGGAGGGGAGGAGGAGGAGGAGGAGGAGGGAGGAGAGAGGAGGAGGAGGGGAGGAGGAGGAGGAGGAGGAGGGAGGGAGAGGGAAGTGAGGAGGAATGAGGAGGAGGAGGAGGAGGAGGAGGAGGAGGACCCCTTCGTCCGGCCCGCTTCTCGCCCGCCGTCCAGGCCCTCGTAGGGCGCCGCGGGCAGCGGCCCCTCGCGGTCCCACGCGGCCTCGAGCCCCGCCCGCTCGGCGGCGCGCCGCGCGAGGCGCACGCTCTCGGGCGCCAGGGCCCGCGAGTCCATCCTGGGGGTTTAGGTCGGGCCTGTCCTCCTGCAGGGGGATTCTGGGCGACAGATAGAAAATATTCAAACAATGCAATTAAAGGCTCAAAAATGGTCAAACAGCAGTCCCCATAGTATCATCATTATTATTATTATCAGTATTATTATTATTATCATTATTATGAGTATTAGTATTATTATTATTATTGTTACTATTATTATTATTGTTATTATTCTTATTAATATTATTATTATTATTAGTATTATTGTTATTATTGTTATTATTATTATTATTAATAGTATTATTATTACTACTATTATTATGAATCCAAGTATTAATGTTATTAATATTGATATTAATATTACTATTACTATTAATATTATATAATTACTTTTACCATCAGTAGTATTATTAGTAGTATTATTATTGATATTAATATTATTATTATTCGTAGTAGTACAATTATTATTACTATTTTTTTTATTATTAGTCGTAGTATTAGTACTATTATTATCATTGTTATTAAGTATCATCATCATTATTATTATGATGATTAGTATTATTCTTATTGTGGTTATTATCAAGTTATTATTGTGATTCCTATTATTGATTACCATTTTTGAATATTCTCCCTGTAGAGGGACAGGCCCGACTGAAGGTTAGGTCGGGCCTGTCCCCCTACAGGGGGATTTGGGACGAAGAATTAAAAATGGTCAGACAATATCCCCAAATAGTCACACAATGCTCCAAACATAGTCCCCAGACTATTGTTTGACTATTTTTGGATATTCCTCCTGTGGAGGGACACGCCCGACTTAAAATCCTGGGGTCCTGGGGGTCAGAAGCGCTCGCGCCGTGCCGACGCGGCGGCGACCCGGACCCAAACAAGAGGCCCCTCGACGAAGGCAGGGCGCGTCGAAGACCCACCAGTCCCCGATGTACGAAGCAACCGAGGAGAGGAGAGAGGCGGAGGAGGAGGCTGAGGAAGGAGGATAGGAGGCGGAGTAGGGAGGAGGAGGATGAGAAGGGGCAGGTAAAGGGAGGACGAGGAGGCGGAGGCGAGCGCGGGGTGACGGAACAAGCTCTCCAACGCAAGGCTCCCGTACGACGGTGTTGTGAGTACGTTCGGTCAAGTTCCTGAAGCACTCGGCCGTCTCGGGAGCCCTCTTGGGGGCGCTCTAGGGGGCCTCTCGGCCCCCGTGGGCGCCGGCGAGGTGCATACCCAACGTGCAGATCGCGGCGGGCGGGCTCTGGCCATGCTCGGCCACCGGGGCCCCTCACCACTCCTCCTCCTCCTCCTCCTCTCCTCCTCCTCCTCTCCTCCTCCTCCTCCTCCTCCTCCTCCTCCTCCTCCTCCCCCTCCTCCTCCTCCTCCTCCTCCTCCTCCTCCTCCTCCTCCTCCTCCTCCTCCTCCTCCTCCTCCTCCTCCTCAGGACCGTCAAACGTCGGCTCAGGACGAGAAGCCGGCCCTGGGGAAAGGAGCTGAGGTCGAGACTTCCGGGGGCCCCGTGTGGAAAAATGGCCCGAGGCGTACCCAGCCCCTGCACGCGAGCTATCAGCGCTCCATACACAAGAACACGCTGTGAGGACAATCTATTCCGTGGGACCTCCCACGAAGGTGGCGACCATGGCGCAGTTCACAGTCTCCCCGGGGGCTGCGACGTCACGCCTTGCCATCGCCTCCGCCGGACCTCCCAGAAGCCCACGGAAGTTGCGACAATTACACAGTTGGCGAGGGAGGGAGGCAAGGAGACAGGAGGCACGAGGAGGGGGAGGATGAAGAGAAAGGTCGGATCAAGCAGTGCTCTGTTCACAACAGAACCCAGCACAGGAAGGTTGGAGAGAGACGAAGCAGGAGGAAGGGAGGCGAGGATGCAGGAGGCGGAGGCACGAGGCAGGACGATGCAGGAGAAGGAGGAGGAGGAGGAGGAAGGAGAAGGTGGAGGAGGAGGAGGAGGAGGAGGAGGAGGAAGCAGAGGAGGAGGAGGAGGAGGAGGAGGAGGAGGAGGAGGAGGAGTGCAGGAGGAGGAGGACGAGAAGGAGGAGTGGGAGCATGGAGACCACAGTGCTCTAGTCGAAACGAGAGCCCAACCAGCTGGCGCATGGGGAGATAACAGACATCGCATGTCTGGAAGCGGTGCCGCCACCGCTGCTCCACGAACCTCTCTCTCCCGGGGTGCGTTCTGGCCTGCGCTTCGAGGAGAAGCCAGCCGTGGCGGCGAGAGCCCTCCAGGACGAGCAGCGCCATCAGTATCTCTCTTCCTCCCTCGGCGTCCCGCACAGCTCCGCGGGCCCCAGCGCGCCCGACAGCACCCGCGCGCGCAGCGGCCCGTTCTCCGGGTGCGCCAGGTTGCTGCGAAGCATGCGCGCGCGGCCTCGGTACTCCGCGGCCCTGCCGCGGGTGAGGCCGTGCAGGCTCAGCTCGATGGCCGCGGCGGCGGCGGCAGCCGCGGCAACGGGCGCCGCAGCCTCACCGCCAGCCCCGGGCGTGCGGAGGCCCGTGGCCAGCAGTTCCACCGCGCGCCGCCGCACCGCGGGTGGCTGGTCGCCTTCCCGCAGGTCGTCGGACTCGCGGCCGCGCTTGGCCGAGGGGGGCATGGCTTGCGGGCAGCACGGTTTGGGCTGCTGGCGCGGCCATGGCCTCACAACCGCCGCTGCGGGAAGGCCGCCGGCTGGCGAGAAGGCCTGGGCGAAAGCGGCAGCGGCATCGCAGAGCTTCGAAGGTTGATGACGACGCTGAGTGCATCAGCGACCATATGTGAGCACTGCCCCTGCAGGTCACACTGCTGAAAAGCAGGCGGAGGTTCAGAACTCGAGGGGTGCCTCAGCCAAATGGACCCCAGCGGGAGTGTCCGACGCAGAATGTACCGATGATGAAGCTAAGATTAGGTCGGGCCTGTCCACTTACAGGGGGATTTGGGGCGAAACATTAAAACGGACTAACGGAACTCCAAAAAAATGCACAACAATGGTCGAACAATCGTCCCCTGACTACCTTTACGAATACAACACATCAAGTAACAACACAACTCAGCAACTTAGCCAAAACAGTCGCCAGCGACTGTTTTAAACCACGCGAAAGTTGATATACGGTAGCGATGACGGCGCTTTGGTTCTCTGCGATTCCACAACTGCGGCTTCACAGAGGCGGCATCCCGTAGTTGAGGGCGCCATACTGATGATGATGGTACCCCACGGTTGACGGGGCCCGTCCACGGTGCTCCACGGTTGACGCCGTCGCAGACGGACTCGACGGAGCCCAAGCGGCCACGGCCGCCTGCTCGCGCTCGCCAGGCCGCGACTGCGGCTTCGCAATTTCAGCCGCGGGCGGCGTGTCAGCCGCGACTGCGGCGCTCTTATCTCGCCGCCACCTGGGGCCCCATCCCGCACCCCAGGAATCCCAGGAACCCCCGGAATCCCAGCGCCATGGCCAACTCCCTGACCGCCAGTCCCGCGAACTGCCACTTGGCCAGCTGCCGCGGTGCTCCGCGTGAGCCGCTGCTGCGGCATCAGGGCCACGAGCCGCCACTGCGGCATCAAGTGTTCGCTGGTGGTCGCCTCTGTCCTCGCTCTTGCCCCTGCCCGGGTCGCCCTTGCCTCGGTTGCCCTGGCCCCCTGGCCCTTGCCGCGGTCGCCCTCGAGCGCCCCCCCCTCGGACGGCCCCCCTTCGGATGGCCGCCCTCTGCCTTATCGCGCCTGTCGCGCCGCTTCATCAACCTCTCCGCCTGTTTCGCTGGCGACCTGCGGGGCTGATTGCGCGTCGACACCAGCAGTGAGAAGCGCGATCCGCTGCGTGCCCTCTCTGGGGAACCTTCCAAATATCGACGTTAAGCTGTTTGTCTGGTTTTGAATGGGCGGGGTTCCCATCCTTTGGGACCCGAGCGCCCCTCTTGATCTGCGCCATCTTTCTACTGCTCTCCGCGACTGCGGTTGTGGATTCTGCAGATGGCGTCAGAAAAAGGCGCAACTTGTCCTCGCGGGCAAAACTCTCGGGCATATCTGTTTCTCACGGCCTCCTCGCCTCTTCTCCTGCAGGGGCCTCCTCAGCGCCTACCTGCGGCGGCGCTGGGCGCGCACCAACTGCGGCTGCCTCCGCCGGGTCGGCAGGGCCAACGCGCGGCGGCGACGCAGGGGTCGCAACTGCGGCTGCCTCCTCTGGGCCAGCAGGGTCAGCGGCTGACGGCGCTGGAGGAGCCGCAACTGCGGCTTCTGGCGCGCCCGCGCTGTGCGGCGCTGCAACGGCAGCCTCTGCCGCAACTGCGCCCTCTACTTCCGAATCAGCAGCTTGCGGCGGTGCAGCGTCTGCTGCAGGGGCTGCCGCTTCGGCCCCTGCCGCCGTCGCCGCCGCCTCGGCCCCGGGCGAGGCTCCAGGGCGCCAGTCAGACGGGCGGAGATGGTGCAGCGGCGCCTCTGCGAAGCCGCACCGCGACGGCGACCATTCTGCGCCGGAGATATCGCTAGCGCACGCACGTAGAGTTTAACTCTCTTGTGACAGAGCTGACCATCACGTCGGTTCAAGATGCGTGCCGCGCCCGCGGTGCCATGCGTAGTCTTGCTCGGCTTTGCGCCGCTGTCATGCAGCTGCCATTGGACTTCAAGATGAACGCTGCCCTTCTGGCCATAGAATGGCTCTCCGACAGGCGCGCCCATTGCCCATGCGGAACACGAGCTCCTTGAGCCTCGAGAGCGGCCGCGGGATTGGACGCGCGGGAGGAGAAAACAAGCGCGGGGGTGTCTGGGGGGGGGGGGGAGATGATGCACCAGGCAGGAAAGAAGCAAATGATATTTCCCAACCATCCTGTGGTGTTGGGTCCTCGTTTTGAAGAGACGGTGCCCCGCGTCTCCTCCTCCTCTCCTCCTCCTCCGCCCTCCTCCCTCCTCCACCCCGGCACACCCCTCACACGTTTCGTGGCCCCATAGGGAGCTCCACCGAAGGCCCCAGTGCTGCCGTCCGCATGCGTCCCGCACACCCATTTCGGCACACCCCTCACACGTTTCGTGGCCCCATAGGGAGCTCCACCGAAGGCCCCATGGCTGCCGTCCGCATGCGTTCCGCACACCCATTTCGGCACACCCCTCACACGTTTCGTGGCCCCACAGGGAGCTCCACCGAAGGCCCCATGGCTGCCGTCCGCATGCGTCCCGCACACCATTTCGGCACACCCCTCACACGTTTCGTGGCCCCACAGGGAGCTCCACCGAAGGCCCCAGTGCTGCCGTCCGCATGCGTCCCGCAAACCCATTTCGGCACACCCCTCACACGTTTCGTGGCCCCATAGGGAGCTCCACCGAAGGCCCCATGGCTGCCGTCCGCATGCGTCCCGCACACCCATTTCGGCACACCCCTCACACGTTTCGTGGCCCCATAGGGAGCTCCACCGAAGGCCCCATTGCTGCCGTCCGCATGCGTCCCGCACACCCATGTCGGCACACCCCTCACACGTTTCGTGGCCCCACAGGGAGCTCCACCGAAGGCCCCAGTGCTGCCGTCCGCATGCGTCCCGCACACCCATTTCGGCACACCCCTCACACGTTTCGTGGCCCCATAGGGAGCTCCACCGAAGGCCCCATGGCTGCCGTCCGCATGCGTCCCGCACACCCATTTCGGCACACCCCTCACACGTTTCGTGGCCCCACAGGGAGCTCCACCGAAGGCCCCAGTGCTGCCGTCCGCATGCGTCCCGCACACCCATTTCGGCACACCCCTCACACGTTTCGTGGCCCCATAGGGAGCTCCACCGAAGGCCCCATGGCTGCCGTCCGCATGCGTCCCGCACACCCATTTCGGCACACCCCTCACACGTTTCGTGGCCCCACAGGGAGCTCCACCGAAGGCCCCAGTGCTGCCGTCCGCATGCGTCCCGCACACCCATTTCGGCACACCCCTCACACGTTTCGTGGCCCCATAGGGAGCTCCACCGAAGGCCCCATGGCTGCCGTCCGCATGCGTCCCGCACACCCATTTCGGCACACCCCTCACACGTTTCGTGGCCCCACAGGGAGCTCCACCGAAGGCCCCATGGCTGCCGTCCGCATGCGTCCCGCACACCCATTTCGGCACACCCCTCACACGTTTCGTGGCCCCACAGGGAGCTCCACCGAAGGCCCCAGTGCTGCCGTCCGCATGCGTCCCGCACACCCATTTCGGCACACCCCTCACACGTTTCGTGGCCCCATAGGGAGCTCCACCGAAGGCCCCAGGCTGCCGTCCGCATGCGTCCCGCACACCCATTTCGGCACACCCCTCACACGTTTCGTGGCCCCATAGGGAGCTCCACCGAAGAAGATATTCACAATTGCGGTACTCTCAACTGCATATGGTTGGGTCCTTCGCCAGGCTAATTTTTAGCGCGCCCATCTACCCAACCGGTTGCTGCATTCCCCGCTCAGTCGATGATCTCCCCAATCGCGCGCCGTGAACCAGGAATCGCAAGGGCGGCCCCTTGCGCGGCCGCAACTGGGGTGCGCGCTTGACTTTGCGAAGACCACGCGCCCGCAACTGCGGCGTTGCATGTCTGGCCATTGCAGCCGACTTACTTAATGACCGAGGATGCCCCGCTTCGGTTCGGACCAGGTCGGGCGCGCACGGTCCCAGGTGCTCCATCGCCGCGCGTTTCTTCTGGGCGGGCGCAGCGTTGGCCCGCGCGCATGCGCGCCCCTTCACGCGCGCGACCTCGTCCCATTTCTTCTTCGGCAGCCTCTCCACCCCCATCTCGATGGCATGGCCCTATGTCGGGCCGTCGCGCCCCAGGCGCCATCTGCAATGGCAACCTCTCGCCCTCCATCTCGATGGCGCCACCCTTTGTCTGTTGGCGACCCGGGCGCCCTTGAAGTTCACGCAGCGCTGCTCACGGCGCCGCTTCCCTGAGCCATTTCCGCTGAAATTCGCTTATCAGGTCCACCATGTCCGCGACTGCGAATTCTCGACATGACGGCGACAAACCGGCCTCGTCGCGGTCTGCGCCGATGAAGTTGGGGACACCGCTGACGCCCAATTCATCCGCTATCATTTGGAGCAGCCAGCTCAGGTCAGCAGCATCAAGACACAACATCCTGCGCCTGAAAATGGGCACGCGCACAGATCGGGCGCCCGTGTCAAAAAGGTACTTCGATCGGTTCAACATGATGGAAAAGCGCGGTGAAAGCAGATCTGTTGTACATATGGCCTCGACCACTTCCAAAGCCTGGACTTCGCTTCCTCAGGGCCCGCGTGGCGCACTTCGAGACACCTGGGGTTCCAGGCGAAAAGTCGCGTTTCCGTGTCGAACCGCGCTCACGTGCGTCGCTGCGCAGAAGAGGTGACATGGGATCATCGTCGTCGCCCTCGCGCTCGCTTTCGCGATCGTCGTCCGCGACTGCGGCCCCTCCTGCTTTTGCCCGCGCTCACTCGACCTCTGCCCGCGCGTTGGATCCCTCGAGTTGCCCCGCTAACTTTGCCCCGCGCTCTCGAGGGCACGCGCGCAGGAGCCATCTCTTCTGCGTCGCCACGTGAACAAAGGAGATCTCTTCGCCATCAGGCACGCAGATTTTGTTCACGCCAGCATCTGGGATGGGAATCGGCTTCCCGCTCCAGCCACCTGAAACGCAGAACGCGGTGC